ATTTGAGGTGTAACTCACTTTGTGTCCTGTGTTGTCTGACGTGACGGTGACCGCCTGGCTCTCCTCGTTCATGTTTCTGAGATCGAAGTCGTCTATAACGGCGGCTGACGTCATCCCTGCTATCTGTCACCTTGAGATCTGGTTCATTCCACCTGCCGAGCACCTCCCTGATGGCAGCATCGAAGTCGTGGTGTATATTCGAAAAGAACGAGTCTTGAAAGAAGCTTCCTCTTCGGGTGATGGGTAGGAACAGGTCCCACGAGCTCAGAGGCGATCCTGCGCATCTCCTGCACTTGATAGAGGACCGGGAAAGTCCCACGTCATCGCTGGAAGCCATCGGGGTGAGCACTTGACGAGAGGAGGAACTAAGGCGGAGGACGTGTACTGGCGATACTGAAAGGCGCTGATGGGACCGAACTTTTATAGCGTTGGATGTAGCGCGGGTGTGAGAGGGCGGGTAGGAATAGTACTTCGCTCCCTGCCAAAAATGTTGAAGTTTACCTGTGCTATTTGATGATTCAGAACTGAAATAACTGAATTTCAGGGACGCGGTGAAATGTTGCCTTAGTGTCAAGCTAGGACTCCTATGAAAAAGTAGCTGATTGTGGAGTACTGTTTAGCATGTTCCCTGCTGATTCTTTCTTCTTTAGGTCATATCATTTCTAGTATTTATGTTACCTACTAGTCTCTATTCAGATTTCCAGCAAGCAATAATTAAGTCTATTTTTTTCTGAATATCAACAACGACACACTAAAAATAAAAGTGATTGTATTGCTGAAGCAAAGCAAATTTTGATTTGGCGAGTTCCTAGACAGATTAACAGCTTTTTATACAGAAGAGCAACAGCAAAACGAGAAACAACTACAATGCGTGTATTTACTTTTTTATGCTTCAAGGTCTTCATGGTCTGAGCCTCAGATCACGTGGCCTATCTTCGAAAGACCAATATAAACTTATTCCATAAATTTTCCTGAGAACAAGAAATTAAATCTCAGATGCAAATACATCTTTATACTATTTACTTGTGTGACCACTCATTTTGTTACATCTAAAAATTATTTCAACATTCTATTCACATAAGTAGATCAGTTAGATATGTTAAGCTAATATTTAAAATATAAAAGTAATTGACATCTTACATATTGTAGAAGGTACTACAAAAAGATGACTATACCATCTCACAGACAATTAATTAACATATGAACGCATAAACTTGCTACTGAATTAATGATTGGTATAACAAATTAAACAACATACATTAATACTTATATATTATTGATACTGAGACTATTGAAATAGACATAGACTGTCAAGGATTTAGTATCAAAGCATCACTTTATCGACTCAGCATTCAGCATTTTCTCTATGCAAATATCTTCCAATATTTATAGATGTAGCCAGAATACCAGAAAATATGTTCTATCAAGATTATTAGTTGAATTAGACATATTTTCAGTTTATTTAGTTTGGGGTAGATGCTCTGTACTCATTTATTTTAATTTATTTATTATTAATGCATTGGTAGAATATCCTGAGGTGATAATAAACTTACGAATCAATCTTAATGTAAATCACAAATCGGCTCTTAATAGACCTAGTAAATTACTTATGCTCTTTCCTTTAATACGAAACTTATTTTTACAGTGTTAAGATAAAGCTTTTCTTGAAAGAGATTGTCTTTACAAAAGAGAGCGATTAAACAATAAGAAATATATATTTTTTCCATATATTAAAGCATTTACAAGAAGGAATGTGATACAAAACAGTGCTTCTCTATAAGCATAATGTATCTAAACTGATAGACGTAACATTTATAGAAACAACATATAAAGGCTGTATATAGTTAACATCACAAAAATATTCAACTATTGAGTATAAAAACTGTATTGTTTGAAAATATGCATTTTTAAATTTAAGTAGAAATCTGAAATTACTAATATTGCTTCGCATAGGAGCGATGGTAGCGGGAGCGAGAGCCGGTGCTGAAGGCCCGAGAACTGGCTCCTTCCCAATCCGCGAGGGAGTCCTTCGCATCCTTGTCCTCCCACCCGCCAGCTGTGTCCACGTGGGGCTTCCTCTCGCTGCAAAATCCCCTTGCGCTGTAGCCGCTTGCTCTCTTCCTGCAGGTGATCGTCAGGATTCCGTCCGAGGACAACACGCAGCTGATGGCGTCTCGCTCGACGAGCTCAGGCAAGGCGAAGCGACGCACGAAGCTCACTCGGGACACTCTGCCTCCGTCCTGCCTCTCTGCTTGACCCTCCACCAGCAGCTCCTTGCCCTTCACCAACTGCACTGTCACGTCGCCCTTCATGAAGTCAAACACGTCCATCACGATCTGAAAAGGTAGAATTTTTTTTTATTTAGATAACTAGCTATTCAGTCTTAATTGAAAGAAGGATTCCAAATGTGATATAAAACAGGCTTTAGTAAGAAGCAGTTTCACACCCCTTGTGCGAGTCCTGATCGTCCAAGATGCCAACAGCCTGATTTTCCAACTTGAGGTTGCGTTGACGCAGACGTCTGTAGTTGTGCATGGCGTCGCTTCGACAGGTCCATTCACTGGCCTTTTCCAGCACTTCTCTCACAGCCTGGCTGAAGCTGTTACGGACATTTGCGAAGCAATAGTCTTCAGCAAACACACCTCTCCTCTCTATGTGCAAAACCCTGGTTTCCATAGAAAGGCTTGGAATGTTATACTTGAAATCCTTACTGCTGTCATTTGTCATCTTTGTCTCCTTGTTGAACATGTGTCCACCTTCAAACTCTTCGTCATCGTCTTGGAAAGTGACTCGGTATTGGTTATTGGATTGTTTGGCAAAAGCTCTTAATTCCTCGTCATCAGAAGATGAATCTCTCTTCTTCAGATATTCCTCGGCGAGACGATGTCCATTTCTAAATTTCCTTGAAACCGTTGCCTCGACATCGTCCATGTCTTCTACATCAATCGAAAAATGTTTTCGATTATGGCCCTCCTGCGGAACACAAAGTTATGATATATTTACTTTGATGCGATTGTTTCTAGAATGTATTTTAGACAAACGCCTCTGCACGTATATTGAACAAGTGTTTGCAGTTCTAGTCATATCTATTCTCTTTACCCTCAAATAACGCAGTGCTGGGCACAGAAACATTCCTATACATATTTATATAACAATATATTCGAGCGTATACACAGATGACCTACCTTCTTTCAAAATTTTCACCGTCAGAAGACATGACTGAAATGACAGCCTCAAGCTCAATGTCTCCAGGAACAACGAAGCGCCGAAGGAACCGCTTGCTGGACTTGGAACCGTCTTCCTTCTTCTCCAAGTGACCTTCGACCACCAACTCTCGCTCGTTCACAGCCTTCACGCTGATCTCTCCAACGTCCATAAAGTCGTGAACATCAATGACAAACTGAAAAAGAAGAAAATACATGACAAAGGTTCATTCAGGCAATGAGTTACCATGATGTTTCAAATAACATTTCTTGACAGAGAAACAGATTATATAATTAGTCTATGTCTGTACCTTATAATGGCGTTCATCTTCCGAGGACGTCACAGCCTGAGTGTCTTCCCTCATATTTCGTGCTCGTAGTTTCCTGTAGGAAGTCATCTCGTCACCGCAGGACTTCTCTCCCCATCTGCTCAGGATTTCCCTAACGGCCTTCTGGAAATCCTCCCTTGTGTCTCGGAAGAAGTAATGGGAAAAGAAGTGTCCTTTCCTTGTGATAGGAAAAGATTTCTCTGTGAAGTTAGATAGAGAACCACTTGCGAAACGAGAGGACGTTCCCATAATTGCGTCTTCGGTGACGTTATACTTATTAGTTTCTTGAGACTCCCTGCCACTTTCTTGTCCAAAGCGTCTCAGTCTATTGCTGTCCTCGAAACTGCAATCAAGATAAGGCGTCTCTGTTCCCGACGTGAAATCTCGAGAGGAATGACGAGTTTCCTCGGACTGAGACGTCATATACTCGTTCAGTCCATTTTGGTTTTCATTCTTGGTCTCAAGCAGACGTTTTTCAGCAGGAAGTGAAGGTGATTTCGAGTGAATTATTTCTTTTGTGATGCGTTTTGCTTCAGTTTTAATGGAGTTTTCAGCAGTATTTGCCTCGACATTTCCTTCCTGCAAAACAATAACTTAATACAATATTTACGTAGTGAAGATTTTTTTTTTTTTATTCATTGGTGATTACTCCCAGCAAAAGATATATCAATAATAGAACTTAGAACATACCTTAAACATCACAGTGACTGTGAGGATGCCATCTAAAGACATGACAGAAGTGATTTTAGTAAACTGTGGAAGAGAGAAGCGGCGTCTGAAGGAGTGAGAGGTTTCGGATGAGGTTCCTTCTTCCTTCTTCACCACAAGTCCCTCGATGACCAACTCGTCATCAACGACCTTCGCTTGTACATCTCCACTCATGAAATCATGAACGTCCATAATTATCTGGAAATAATAGGTAGCTTTTTATACCTACTTTTGAAATGTTATTTGGGAATCGTGGTAGTAATTTATTTAGTAATAATATTGATATTACTCAAAATGACACGAAAAGTAACAATGACAATAATGTCGACTAACCTTCATACAAGACTTGTCTGATGTGACGATAGCGGCCTGATTCTCTTCCCTCAGATCGCGAGACCGAAGCTGCCTGTAGCGTTCCAGGATATCGGTGTGGCGGAGGTCAGTGTCGTCCTCAAAGTTGACTTGATTGCACCTGCCCAACACCTGCCTGAGAGCGGCACTGAAGTCTCGGTGAGCGTCGAGGAAGAATGAGTCTTGGAAGAAGTTTCCTCTTTTGGTGATGAGCAAGAGTTCTTCTGGCGAATCTCTGTGAATCCTTCTTGTTCCTTTCAAGGATTCGATAGCTTCTGCAGACTCTTTTTGCAATTGTCGTGGATGAAGTAATTGTATCTGTTGGGCTGGATTCTTTGGTTTCAGTCGTTTCTTCTAGGTTCAGCTGCCCGACACTATCGACGGCTTCCTTTTCATGGGTACAATCTCTGGATAACTGCAAGGAATTTGTGCAACTCTCAATGGCTGCCGACTGAGTCCTTTTGCTGTCGAGTGTTTCCTCAGGGATTGTTTGGTGATTTAAGTTCTCTTGAACTGCTGACTCGTTCTCATACTTATTTTGCCAAGAAAATTGTGCAAGTTCCTCATCCATAGATTTGGACCTTTCTTGCACAGACGCGGCATCCTCAGTTACATCGAAAATGGTTGAAGACTTTGAGTTCTGAGCTTCTGACTCATTCTGACCCTCAACAACAGTTTCCTGTGAGTCTTTCCCATCAAGAATGTCAACAGATTCCTGGGAATTTTGAAGATGAAGAATTTCAACAGCTTCTGAGACTTTCAGAAAGTTCAGCAGCTGCCTCTGAATCTTTTTGATCAACATATTCCTGGGAATCTTGAAGATCAGGAATTTCAAGAGCTTTTCACTTCAAGAATGTCAACATCTTCCTGCGAGTCTGTAAGATCAAGAATTTCAATAGCTTCTGAGCCTTTCACTTCAACAATGGCAGCAGATTCCTGTGAGTTTTTCAGCTCAAGATTTTCAACAGTTTCTTCTGAGTCTTTTAGATCAAGAATATCAACAGCCTGTTGAGAGTCTTCAAGATGAAGAACTTTCACAGTTTCGGAATCGTTTTCATCTTCGGGAATGGCAGACAGAAGAGAATCCTGGGAGGAAGTTCCAAAGTCACGAGAGGCAGACAAATTGCCAGACGTTTCAGTCATGGCGATCGAACTTCGGCGACACAAGGAAGCCTCTGAAATTTCTGCAAACTCGGAGCAAGACTGCATTTCATCAGACACAAAAGTTGAGAATCAGTCATCCTTTTGCAGGTACAATAGATTCTTGTTGTCAATAGTTTCTTTGCTTTGATTTTCACTTTCTACAAATCAGTGTCATGACTCGATTGCTGCAGAATCAGTTGACAGAAGGATTCTCGGCTGTCTCAGATTCCACCGAGTGACTCATTTCTTCAGATGAGATCGGTCGTATCTTCTGCCACAGAGTCCATGCAGTCATGTGTGGCTTTGCTTTCTTTTTCACATTCCTCATGGAGGGAGATGGTTTCATCAGCTGGGAATAGCGAGCGTTGAACTTGAGAGGATTTTTGAACTTCCTCAACGGACCTGATCACTTTGTGTTCCTCCGGTTCTTCTGCCTGTTAAACAATTTAAATATTAGCTTAAAATTTATACTTGATTATAAACAGAAACACGAGTGTGTGTGTGTGTGTACGTGAGTATGTGTGTCAGAAAGAGGGTGCTTGTGAGTGTCTGCGATGTGCACATATATATTTGTAACACCTTTTTATATTCTTAGTAACTGACATTTTCATCTTTGTAACATATAGCATAAGTAATTTTATCTCCAGAAATCCTTACATACCATTTTTGAAGCGCTGATTGTAAGAATGCCATCTGAAGACATGATGCACGTGATGGCTGTCATGTCAATGTGCTCTGGCAAGGAGAAGCGGCGTCGGAAGGAGTAGGAGGACACGGATGAGCTTCCTTCTTCTCTCCTCTCCACACGACCTCCACCACCACCTCCGTCTCGCCCGCCACCTTCACCTTCAGATCCCCGTTCATGAAGTCTTGGACGTCCAACACGATCTATGAAAATTTATGTATATTAAACAATAGCCATAATGCTTACATCTGGATATCATATTCGAATTAATAAATGTTCACATGAAGAATACATGTAAACAGTTGCAGGTAGATTGAAAAAATATTGGATTGATCTTCAAAAGGCGTTTAAACAATTGTATTAGTAAGAGTGATTCTTGAACTACTTACCTTGTAACTAGTGTTGTCGGACGTGACGATAAAGACTTGGGTCTCTTCCTTCAATTCTCGGGATCGAAGCTGTCTGTAGCGGTCCAGGATATCGCTGTGACTAAGGCCAAGGAAGTCCTCACTGTGTGTCACTTCGCTGTCTTCGCTGACCCACTTCCTCAGGACCTCTCTGATGGCAGCGTCGAATTCTTGGCGGACATCGAGGAAGAAGGAGTCCTGGACGAAGCTTCCCCTTCGAACGATGGGCAAGATTTCCTCGCCCAGTTTGATGGCTTCAGTCGAATCAGATTCTGATTGCACAGTTGCTTGTTCCTGTTGTTCAGAAACTGAATCATCATAAGAGGCTTTTTCAACGACTGTCGATTCAAGAGTTTCAGCCAATCGCATGAGTTCATGATCTGAATATTGGGCAACGTCTCCACGAACAGAAGCAGTTGTAGACTCATCCACAGACGGATTGTGGCAGATCTTGGACTTTAAAACTTCCTTGGATTCAGCAGGAAATTCGAATTCTTTCTTCAGCTTTCTCGTCTTGTTCTCGTAAGTGTTTTTCGTTCACACCCAAACTCCATCTGATCCACATTAACAAGATTCTCGTGAACAGAGATATTTTTCTCCGTCGTGGACGAAACTGCTTCGGGTGTTGAGTCTTGAGCTGTTGATGATTCCTTCCTTTCTTCGGTCGCGGAGAAGTTAACAAGTGAATTTTGCTGTGGTTCTCCTGCCTGAATGAAACAAAAACAGGGTCATGTAGTTAATAATGTTACATTGCAGTGTGATTAACATGTCAGGTCTATATTTTTTAAGCATGATTATGTAATGTAAACATAGGTTTATTAAGTTATCTTAACATAAAAAGTAAGTTATTTACCGTTTTGAGAGCAGTTATTGTGAGGATGCCATCCGAAGACATGACAGAAGTGATGCGTGTCATGTCAGTGCTGTGAGGCAGGGCAAAGCGGCGGCTGAAGGACCGTGTCGAGACGGACGACCCTCCTTCCTCCTCCTCCGCGCGCCCTTCCACCACCAGCTCCTCGTCGACGACTTTCACCTTGACGTCTCCGCGCATGAAGTCATGCACGTCCAGCACGATCTATGAGATTGAAATTGAATTGAATTTGCTTTATTTTTAAGTTAATGAAAATATGGTCAAAATATAGTGATAGGACTGATGATTATCTTAATAATAACAATGTTGAAAGTGACAACAATGATAATAACACTAACAATGAAAATAATGGCATTGATAATGATATGAATATTGATAATTGCAATAATGATAGTAATGATAATGAAAGCAATAATGGTGATAATGAGAAAAAAAGAAAGAAAAAGCAGAATGAATCGGATAATGATGAAGCCCATAATAGTATGTGAAGATATTCTGCCACACTCAGTGAAGTTGTGCATATCAAGTATAGATAATCGTGTACCAAGAGAAAAACATCAAATACTTTGTAATCAATGAAAATATCTTGAATACTTTAGGCAATGCCGAGTGCTGATACACAGAGAGGGGACTGACCTTGAGGCTGGCACTGTCTGACGAGACGCAGAAGGCCTGGTTCTCTTCCCTCATGTTTCGAGATCGAAGCTGCCTGTAGCGGCTCAGGATGTCACTGTGACTGACATCGCCTGTCAGCGTGAGGTCGGAGTCGTCGCATTTCTTCAAGATTTCCCTGACGGAGGCGTCGAAGTCTCGGCGAATGTCGGAGAAGAACGAGTCTTGCAAGAAGCTTCCTCTCCTCGCGATGGCCAAGGAATCGTCTTGCGAACTGCCAAGAGTTTCCTTTGCTTCCAGCGAGTCGGAAATTCTTGTGGAAGCGAAATCTGAGATCACAGACGACTGCTTCTGTGATGATTGTTGGGAGTTGCTTGAGATACTGGAAGCTGCAGTTTGGGTCTTGTTCTCGTCGATCTTCTCCTGATGGCATCGTGTGGATTTGCGTTCCTCCTGTTGGGCTGTGTGGGACGTTCTCTGGCCAGACGCCGCTTCCTCAGAAACTCCCGAGGTCGTCGAGGAAGTTGAGCTGTGAACTTCTGCATTGTGCGTTTCCTTGACGCTAATGGGGATGACAGTCGTCTTCTGTTGTGTTTCAGTCTCCTGTTGGTTTAGGATGGCGTATTTACCATGCGAATGCCTTCTACATTTTAATGAAGTCAGTTTTATAACATCAGAAAAGCGTTGATATAGTACAAGAGGAGCTAGGACAATACCTTCTTGGTCACAGTGATTGTGAGGATGCCATCTGACGACATGACAGGCGTGATGGATGTCATGTCAGTGGACTCAGGCAAGGAAAAGCTGCGTCTGAAGGTGCGCGAGGACCCGGCCGAAAGGGCCTCCACCAGCAGCTCCTCGCCCATCAGCTTCACCTTCACATCTCCATCCACAAAGTCATGCATGTCCAACACGATCTGTGACATGATTCACGCTATCAGTAACAAAACAAGTTTTCATTCGCCATAAACGTAAGAATTATTATTATATTTTTCAACATATAGATAAGAGTGTAGTCTTCATGCTACTTACCTTATAACTAATATTATCCGAAGTGACTGTAACGGCCTGGTTGTCACTCCACAGGTTCCGCGATCGCAGCTGTCTGTAGCGGCCCAGTCTGTCGCTGCGTGGAAGTCGTCTCGTCCCAGAAGTCCGCCAGCTGGAGGTCGGCGTCATTCCAGCCGTTGAGGACCTTCCTGATGGAGGCGTCGAAATTGCGGTGTATACCGGAGAAGAATGAGTCCTGGAAGAAGTCTCCCCTTCGAGTGATGGGCAAGAGAGTGTCCCTCGAACCGCGGTGAAGTCTAGAGGAATCAGCTGTTCCTTTGGTCCCAAAATGGCATGAACAAGTTTCTTTTCGTGCAGAAGACGAGCGTTCTGAGTCTGTGCTAAGACTTGACTGTGTAGTTTCCGA